AAAAAAAATACATGGTACAGTAAATTGTAAACGTCATAATGTAGTACGAGTTGTCGGTGTGGAGGGGGGATGGAGTGGCAGCAGCACAACAGCAACAACAACAACATGAAGTAACGTTGACGGCAACTGTATAAATTATTACATTGTGTACTCTTAGCGCACATAAAAATACATTAATAAATATTATTTATGTATACTCGTACTCTCTACTCGTATGTAGAATATACACCACCCACCACCCATTCCTTACGTACATATGTACATATGTATGTATGTAGCATGCGCCCAACACAACTTGTTCATCATCGCATACTGCTGCTGCTGCTGTTGCTGCTGCCACCATAAACTGATGTAGAAAGATGAGTTCTTTAATACACAGAGAGAAACAGTTGAGAAAGAGTAGTATATCTCGGATGAAAATTGGTGCAAGGCTGAGGCAGTGCCTTAACTGATACTTTTTCAATGGAAATATTACGCCAAGATTCTTAAATATTAAATTATTATTTATTTAAATTTAGATTTATTTTTATATAAAATAAAATATATTTTAGATAGAGTTTACAGACTGAAATGTTTCAAAGTTTTTATATAAATTCTATATAAATAATATAAATATAATATTTATATGTATATATAAATATATAATATATGGGTTAAATATATAAATATAAATAAATTGAAAATATATTTTCTGTAATATTTTGAACTAACATTTCGTTATTTTCTTTCAAAGTTCATCAAATTTGTCCCTTAAATTAATTTCACAATTTTTTCACATCTATTTATTTTTCTTATTATTATTATTGAAGCATAGTCTAATTATAAAACTTGAACTTTTTGTTGCAGTGCATTTTCATTGAAAAACTTACATGCGATATAGCCTCATCTTCATTTCATATTTTTGACATTTGTTAAATCAAATAAATGTATTCGATTCCGTTTGTACACACACACACACTCACACACACCCATACGAATTCATTCGAATATACTCACATACTCGCATAAATTCGCATTTTTTGTTGTTTATGTTTCATTTTTGCTGTTTGTGGAATTTATTTGTTTGTTTTGCCATTTCATGTGAATGCAAATTTGGTAATTGTCTCTCACTCTCTCTCTCTCTTTCGCTCTATCGTTCTCCCCCTTTCTCTTTCCTTTTTTTTTGGGTGGTTTTTGCTTTATTTATTTGATGGCAAATGAAGCTTAAGTCGTGAATACCCTCAATGTGAGTTATGCACGTGAGTAATGAATATTTTAGCTCGGTTTTTTTTTCGCGATTTTTGGGTGGGTTACAATTAGCGAATTGTTGGGTTAGATCATAAAATTGTGTGATATATGGCTTTGAACCTTTACGATATATAATGAGCGAAATATATTTTAAGATCTAAATCGGTTAAAAATATGTTACTATATAAATCGAATTAAAAGTAATGATTAAAATAATCTCAAATTCTTAGAGGAGAATAACTTAAAAAAATAAAATTGGGAACTAGTTCTTAGACAGCTATATCCATAGACGTAATGCCAGGAAGAAGTGTTAAGTTTAAGTGATTTATTGTTAGGGGCCTTTCGTAGAACTAGTTGAAATAATTCTGCTAGTCAGCGAGTCCCAGAGTAAGCGAATGCCCCTTCCTGCCTGGATGGTCATTAGTTAATAAATATTTATGTTATATTTGCTGATATTTCTGACGTAAGCAGCAGCCATAATCAATAGCTGGGCAGCCATTTGCTTGGCTCCGTCAATAAATCTTTTTGGAGACATAATTTTGCTTTTGGCATTGGTTTTGGGGTCTTTCCATCCATCTGTCGATCCATCCGCCAGCCTGCCAGTCTGTCTGTCTATCGCTCTCTCTCTCTCTCTCTCTCTCTCTCTGGTGTTCCTTTTTAGCCTTTTATTTCTGGCGGGGGGCGGGGGCTGGCTGTGTTTTCAATCTTTGTGTGTGGAAAGCCAGCTTTGGCCATTAACGTGATATATGCACGTTGGCCGCCTAATGATTGCCGAATTTCTAATTATACGCATAAGAAATTATATCTGTCAATAAATTTGCCACTGTGTGTGGGCCACACAGCCCGAAGAAACCAAAGTCCTGTGAGGGTTGTCAGACGGGGAGGCGTGGAGGCGGTTTTCGTTGCTACCAAAAAAGGACGAAAAAGAAATCAGCAAAAGCCATAATTCACTCAGACACACACACACAGACACAGACAGACTGAGGAGGACGTCTTCCGTTGGCTAGCGTAAATCCTTCTACAACTGACAACGGGAATGGCAATGGCTCCTCCGCTCCGCTCAGCTCAGCTCTCACAGTGCCTTATATAAATGATGAGAGTCCGAAAAGTCCGAGAGTCGAGCCCGAAAGCCGAGTGAGCTCCCAGGCATAATGACCTCTCCTAGGCAATGGGCATAGAGTCTCTGGGCAGGAAATATTTGGCCGAATGACGCATAAAACAAATCCAAACACCAACCCCCAAGAGGATGGGTGCTATTTCTTGACGGACCTCCTGACTTGATGAACAAAGGGGGAGGGGGGGCAGGCGGAGCGGTGGGTGAATGTGGGAGGAGCTTTGGCGTTTGCCTTTGCCGTTTGCCTCTCGTCATCATTATCATCAGCGCAGTCATCATTTGAGCCAAGCAAAAGCCCAAGCAGCCCAAACACAAGACGGAAAACCCCTCACAACTTTCGAAGACACTACACAGAAAGGAGGCGGATGGGGTAGGGGGGTAGGGGGTGGGGGTGGGGAGCCACACCAACATTTTGGCCCCATATATTTTCGCTCGTCTGACATTAACGGCTGCTATCGCAGAGTGGAGGGCTATGCCCAGAGCTGTGCCAAGAGCCTGGCATCATTACTGGCACTCCACGATTTATTGACGAGACCAGACCAAAAACCAAAACGAGAACCAGAGCCACCGAGCCACCGAGCCACACAGCCAGAGCTGCTCTGACGGAGCAGCCGAAAATTTAGAATCGTCTTCTTGGCCAACAAAAAGGATTGCTAGAAGGAATGGCTGGCAGACAAGCAGCAGGGCCAAGGAATTGGGTCTGAATGTAGTGTGGGTGTGGCCCCCGTAGTAGACCCCATTAGTTTCTATGGCCCATTCCGTTGACGCTTTTTGGGGCCCTGTGATGGCAGTCAACGCAAGATGACGTTGTGTTTGACGTCTCTCCTTGTGGAGCTTGGTTTTCTGTTGATACAGCACGAAATATATAGCCAAATGAAATGCTTGGAAATGCTTGCAAATGCTTCAATATCAAAAGTTTTTTTTTTGTGTGGTGCCCTTGTCGTACTTTCCACACAAATTGCATATTAGATGAGGGCGAACCGGGCGATCCGAGCTTAAATTGGATTATCTAGGGCGCAAAAGTTTGATTTAAGGGATTATTTAGGGCAGATTCTTGGAGTTGATTAAATGCGGTAAGATGTAGGATGGACTTGGCTGTGATATATAGAGGAAATTGTGATTTGGAGCTGTCTGAAATGGTTACCAGTTTTTCAGGAAGGAGTTCCCATGGACTGTTGTGCTCTGAAGTACCAAAGATCTGCTTGGAATTGGCTTCATCTTTGATCTAAGAGTAGCATTTAGCTTGTACACATGGACACATTTAACTAAAAAAATATATATAAATAAATAAAATAAAATTTTGAAAATTATTTACAAACGTTTTTTTATTGAGTTAAACCTTTTTCTGCCTAATTGTCTGCCCAAAATTTTCCCATTCTTTAACCCTATATTCTTTTCTTGTCTACTCCCATATTCCCTAAGAAAATCTTCTTTCAAAACTCCCTTTCCCCTGCCATAATTTTGTTGCCAAAACATTCCCCACAGCTGACTCCGAGGTAGACCACAAAATTTCTGGCAATTTGCGTCTCCTTTCTGATGGGTTGGCATCATATGCAGGGCCAACACCCCCACAGCCCACAGCTCACAGCTCAGACCCACACCACATCCTTGAGCCGATGATTCATATGCTAAGGCTACGTCCCATTCCGTTCGTGCCAAAAACCTTACAGCTCCCTCCTGCTACTCCCGCACCCACTAAGCTATCTCTAATGTCTCTCAACTGCTGCTGCTGCTGCTGCTGCATCTCCTCCTACAGAGAGACCGACCGACCATTCATTTGAGAACGAGAAGCGCCTTCGGCATATTTTTAATTGCCTAATTTTGTGACTTGAGTGATGGGCACACTGGAAATGTGCTTCGAGGGTTGATGCCACTGCCGCTGCCACTCCGGCTACTGCTACGGCTCCTGTGGCAGCAGTTCCTTCCTTCAAATCGTTGTTGTCGTTCAGCTTGATAAACGCTCGCTTGCCGCCGTTTGGCATTTTAAAATTGTCGCCAAAAAACATCCACCCAAAAGACCCATCCACCCGCGCTCTCTCTCTCTCACTCCCTCCCTCTAGGGCTGCCAGCAAGTGGCTTCATTTGCTGGCTGTGGCAAATATTTTACCGTCCTTGCGCAACATCCACCCCACCCACCCCACCCGTGTGGCATTGTCACCATCAACAGTGCTGCCGCTCGCGGCAAATTATGGGACAATATTTTAGGCTAATGTTAATGTTTTCCCAAAAATTTTCTCATTGTAGAGAGGTCCTGCTTCTTGCCTCTGGGCCACCCCGGTCGCAGTCCTGGCCCCCTCCACCCAACCCAAATCCGTTAAATTATTGAGCTCTGAAGGTACTTTTCAATGCGGTTCGCTGGCTCCTGGCTCCTGGCTCATGGGTCTGCTCCGCGCTACTACAGTGAGCTACAGCTACAGAGTTTCGGGTTAAATGAGCAGCGCAACACTTTTATTTTTTACTCGCTCAGGTTCTGTTGTTAAATGTTTCGGAAACGGCAGCCAAGGAAACCCCCCAGAAACGGAAAGAAAAGCCTTCTCGCGGAATGAATTAGCTCCCCCCACCCCAAGGCAAAAGGGCAGGCAGTTCCTCTTCTGTTAAGAAAGATCCTGGTAAATTATTGTGATGCATAATGAATTATTTCATAGGATAAATGTCCACAAAAAGTACACTCCAAGAAGTGTTTTATATTTGGATATAAAATTGGTTTTGCTAGCACTTAAAAAACTGAATTTTAGTTAAATTTTGATAAAACTTAAATTGTGGAAATTTCTGTAGACACTTTTTGCTTTTATTGATAATCGAATCCATTGGATTTTTCTCCACCGTCAAGATTATGGATTGATTATCTAAAAAAGGCAATAAATAATAAATAAATTAAGTATTACTTTTTATTTTATTTTAAAATCACTTACAAAACACTTGAAAATCCTGTTCGTTTTTCTGCACATAACAAAACACCAAAACCGCATAATGATTATAGTCCGAACAGAGTAAGAATGGCACTGGCAGCAGTGGAAAATAATTCAACGGAGTATGGACTAGATTTTCCAGCGACAAATACACATAACTATCCTTGGCAGGACACACGGCATTCATGTAGATCGGTGGATAGGTATACTGACGATGCCAGTGTTTGGGCAGCTATTTATAGGGTTTTCAATTTGGTTTTATTTCTATGAATTTTTCTATGCTTACGCGCCATATATCTGGATTTTTGTTGGGCAAAGGTTCCAAACAGCCATCGTACATGGCCTGGCGCCAGTTCTTGGCAGTTCGGCCTTGCGTGTGGCATAATATTGTGAGAATTTCAAAGCAAATTAAAGACTTTCTCATGATCTACTTGGTTTTTATTGGAGTGTCTCTGGGCTACTGAATGTTTAAGCTGGACATTTGCAGCTTTGGTCATAGTTTTATCGGCGATAAAAAACATATGTTTTGTTGCTGGGAAAAAAATGCACCAAGAACAGATGTAGGTTTAGTTTCGCATTTGTAATAATTTTAATGGTACGCGTCATGCAGCAGTGCCACTCTGTCTCAGCTCTGCCAGCTGGCCCATCGAATCCCCATCAAAGTCTGGCTTTCATAAGCAGCCGCAGCCACACAAAATTTGTATCTCAAACTGCAGCTAGAAATCGCAGTCCGCGCCCACACCCACACACATCAGTCTTCAGGTCTGCTGTCTGTAAGAGATAAAGAAAACCACAAAGAAAAGCACCCGAAAAAAAAGCGAAAGAAAGTAGGAGAAATGCCAAAGGAAAACCTCTAAATCTTACGTTACCTCTACCTCAATTGGGTGGCCAGGGGCAGGGCCCCCTGTTGCCATTTATTTCTACCCAGACCCAGCCCTTTGCTAGTACGTTCGCTCGTTCGGTGCGCCTTGTCTCTAGAACCATAAAACACTTTAATAGTTCTCTTATGCCAACCCTCAAGACGACCTCATACCCCAAAAATATATACGAATACGAGTACTTGTACAATAAATCCCCTGCACTACCACACACACAAAAAAACCGAAGGATACTCCAGTGAATGACGTTTACCAATAATTATGGTCGTTCTTTTAGTGTCACTTCTTCTGCGTTATTTTGGCTTCTCTGCTATGCAATCTTTCTTTCGCCATTGACTCTTTCTACATTTTTTCTCTTCTTTTCTCATGAACAATTACTGATGTTTAGCAATACTGTCCTTGTTAACACTGACAGACGTTTACCAATACTTAATTTCTCATTTCAAAATTCTTCTTCGCGATGTTCTTTTTCTTTTCGTACCAAGCATTTTATGATTTCTTTCCAACACTGAATGACGCTTACCAACACTGCTTTTATTTTTTGGCTCTTCTTTTTGCTCTCTGAAATCTCTTTTTCTTTATATTAATTATTTTTCTTCTATCGTATTTTTTCTACAACTTAAATTTCTCTTATCAGAACGTTTACCAACACTTTCTTTCTGTCTCCCTCTCTTCTTCACTATGTCTTCCCTTCAATCGCCTACGAGTCACCCAATATAAAATGATGGCCACGCTATCACTCGTAAATGGCGCCCAATGTGGCGCCCCCCTCAAACTCCAGGCCATCCAGCCACTTGCCACCCGACTGCTGCCCCACGTGCAGCAGCCTCTGGCTTTTCGACTCAATTGTTTCCTTCGCTTTCTCTTTCGCTCACTCGCCCCCTCCTCTCTTTCATTCTTTCTTTGGCTTGTCCTTAATTTAAGGCCAGACAACTCGTTGAACTTTTTTAATGATTTCTGTTTTTTGGGCCTTGGGGACTAATTCTTTGGATTCCCAAGCAATGGGAGTGGTGGAGGGTGCGGCGGCGCCATATGCCTGCGAGACGCAACAAATTAACCCCATTTCACCTGCAGGAGCAGAGCAACCCTTAACCCTTTACAGCATCTTAACCGCTTCAACACTTTGATTTGATTTTGTTTCTTCTTTCTTTTTTTTTTTTGTATATTTTTTTTTGGAGGGGAGGCGGCACACGATTCGCGTTAATCAATTGCCACAGGAAAGCCCTGCCCTGCCCCCTACCCCTTCCCTTTGCGCGCGGATCTGCGCGCAAATTTGTGCGCGTGGCATGCCCCAGCATCACCCACTACCCCTCGACCTTGTCACGTGACACCTGCAACCTTTTGCGCGTCGATTTCCGTTTCCGTTTCGCCGCCGCCGACGTAAAAGTTTTTGGTTTTTGGCTGTTTCGTCGTGGGTGCCGTGCCGGCGTGGGTGGATTCCTTCCACTTCTCTGCCTCTTGGCACATAACAATTTTTGATGCCTTTTGATCTTGGCCCATGGACTTGGCGGGTTTTTAATTTAAATCCTGCTCCTGTCAGCGGTAATACGACAAAAAATATCATCCACCATGCCAGCTACCAGCACGCCAGCCACCCGCCACCAGCCACCCGCCATCGCCATTGCCATGTTTGATGTTTAATTTTATTAAAAGGATTTTTCTTTTTGTTGATTTTTGTTGTTTTGGTTTCGGTGTTTTGTCAGAATCCAATTAAAATTAACCGCCGGCAATTGTTTGTCAAAAATATTTAAGACACGCGCAAAAACAAAAAGCCAAACAAACAAACAAATAAACAAATAAACAGACAGGAAAAACATCCACGAAACAGCAGCAGCAGCAGATATCCAACAACAGGTGCAAGGTGTGTGTTTGCTCCGCATGAAAAATGCAAGGGAAAATCATGGATTTGGCTGGTGGAAAACTATTTATCATGCAATGCTGTTTGATTGGAACAATTGGAACAGTTTATGGAAACATTAATGGCTGCAGTAGGGCAGTGTGGAAAATTATGCCGAACTCATTTAAAAATTTGCTTTAATTTTTTGGGGTATCTATTTCCGATCTATTCCGATATATTCAGAACTGTGTTAAGGTTTAGTCAGCTGTTGGCAAAGACAAGGCCGAGTAATTTCCTAGTTTTTTCCGCAGTTATTTTACTAATTCTTATCCACAAACTCTGATGAAACTTTACCTAACAAAATGCCTCAAGCAAAAGCCATTCCAATGACCTTCCAAAAACAAACGCCACAATAGAAATTTCCTTTAAATTAGTCAAGGCCTTAGAGCAAGGGTCACATCAACATCACTTTCACTTCGGTAGCGGCACAGGAAAACTCTGCACAAAGATTGTGCTGTCCATTGTCTTGACGGGAAAGTGTCAAGGCGGCGGCCGACTTAGCGTTTGAGTGATTTACGAGGGAAAGCGTAAAGGCAGGCCTAGACAAACGGATCACAAAAGGAAAGAACTCTAAACAGTAGGGCCCCGGTTGCCTTTTTTGATGGGCGACAGGCAGAGCAGGCAGAGGCCCAGCGGGTCAATGCTGGGCACTGCAATGAAAGTGAAATTCTGCAGCTCATAAATCAGTTGGTTCGTTCGTTCTCGTTTGACTCGGTGGATCTGTTTTGTTCTGTCCATCGGATACGTCATGCAAATGTGCAACTGTTGTGCCAACACACGTTTCACAGCGTGGCAGCATCAGGAGTGAGAGAGGGAGAGAGGGAGAGAGGGAAATATTTTGACATTGATGCAGTTGCCGGGAAAAATCAGCAGCCAACATTACGTCTCTAGGCCGCTTTTTGTGCACTTTGGTAGTGGAGGAAATGCATCTCTGTGTAGCTGATGGATTAGTGCGGATTAACGCGAGCCGAGAGTCGAGTCTGCCTCCTGCCTGCTGCCTCCTGCCTGCTGCCTGGTGAAAGTTGTGGCAGGTAGTTTGCTGACTTTTTCTGCAGCGAGAATTAATTTGGAATTCCTTGGGTAATGCTTCCTGAAGGAGGCGTTTTGTTTACACCGATTTTAGGGCAACTTAAAATGTTCTTAAGTGAAGGTTAAGTATGGGCATTATTTTTGTTAAAGGAAGGTCAAACTTTGTGGGTGGAACAGGGGCAATTATGGCAATTAGTAGCGTGCAAATTTGTGACTTTATTTTTAGGACAGATTAGAAAAAGAAATAGTGAAAAATATAATTCTGACAGAAAGTGCTGCAAACATTTTTGGTGCTAAAGAAAATTGTTATTAAACCTTAGATATAATTTTTGTCGGCATAATCCTCAGTATTTCCGTGCCAAAATATTGCCCCAAAATTCGCTGCTGCATGTCTTACAGTTGCATATCTTCAGCTGCAACCCACAAGCCCCCAACAACACACACCCCGATTTACCATAGAACTATGCAAATCAAAGACTGCCCCCCCCAACACAAAAGAATGGAACACTCAATCAATGGATGGAAAATCGCTGTGGAAAATCCTTTATGGAGTGCAAAATGTATGCATAAAAAAGTAGTTTGATTTTGCACAGCCATATAATTTTCCGCTCAGCTTTTTCCACAATAATTTACTTTATGGGCCGATTTAAGATTTGAAATTCAAGCGGCAGTCAGGCAGGCAATCGCTTGACCAATGGCTGCCAATGCCATAAACAAAACGTTGACTGAGTTTTTTGCCTGCTGGCCACAAGCAAAAACAACAAAAAAAAAAAAGAAAACAGAGTGGCAGAAGTGGCAGGCAACAGCAAGAGGCAGCAACAGCAACAGCAGCAAACATTCTCAACATGAGCAGCTGATATTTCACATAAACGACATAAACACTGCGAGGGCAAAGCGCGAGAAGCGCGAGAAGAAGGCGATGATCGCCAGAGACTTTTTACTGTGTGTTGTGTGGAGGTGTGTAGCCAGGCAATTGCAACTGCAACGTGCAACCAGCAGCAGCAGCAGCAGCAGCAGCAATATCCCCTCCAATCTCCCCCCACCACCCCCAGCGGATGGACAACAAAGCAAAACTGGAGACGACGACGACGACGCCATCGCCATTGCCACCACATGCTGCAAGAGCAGAGAGCGGAGCGCGCTGCTGCTGTGTGCCTCTCCCTCTTGCGAGGAGCTGCAAATATATCAAATGCGATCGATCGCCAATGTCTCGGACGTAGCTACGTCCCCCCACACAGCCCGTCCATGGCACCATGGCAGCAATGTAAATCCAATTTGATCTGTGCCGAACGTAAAGCTGCGCTCTGTGGCAGTGTCTTGGCCTGGCTGTTGCACTGCCTCGCCTGATGCCTGATGGCCTCGAATAAGTGTAGGCAAAACATTCAGACGGCAGCAGCAGCAACAAAACTTTTGCCAGCCAAGAGATCACAGATCTCTGTTACGGGGGCCTGATTTCTTTTTGTTTTTTTTTTGCCTGGCGATTTGCGTTTCGTTCTTGTGTGTTTGCTGCTACCTTAACGCGCCACAAAGATTGTGGCATTGTGGCAGTGCCAGTGGCAGTGGCAGGCAGCGGGCAGCGGGCAGCAAGGCCCTTCAAAAACTTTGAACTGTGGCGCAGACGACTGCAGAC